TATTTAGGCATGATTGGATTCTACAGGAAATTCTGTTCACAATTTGCTACTGTTGTTCAACCGTCAAAACGCTTTTGAAAATAGCAAATCACTTTTAAGTAACAGTCCTGTTCTGATCACTCCAGACTTAAAAAAAACAAACAACCCAAACTTGCCGTTGATGCAAGTGATGTAGGAGTTGGAGCCGTTTTATATCAAGAAACAGATGATAATGTTAGAAAACCTTAATCACATTTTTTTAAGAAATTGATAAACATCAGAAAAATTATTCAACTATTGAAAAAGAGTATTTTGCACTTCAACATTTTGATGTATATTTAAATCCGACTATGCATCCTATTCTTGTATATACTGATCATAATCCTCTCACCTTCATACATAAAATGAGAAACAAGAACCAGAGGTTGACTAGGTGGAGTTTATTGTTACAGGAATATGATGTTATTGTAAAACATATTAAAGATAATGTAAAAGCAGATGCTTTATCTATATTTTATCAAAACACTGTATACATACTGTGTTTTTTTTTGTATATATTGTTCATGAAAAGTTCTTGTTACACTCACATTTTTTTAAGGCGGGAGGTGTTATGATATTGTAATTATTATGTCTATTTATCTTGGCCTAATTTATTTTGTGTGGCCTTATAACATATATAATATGTTGACATAATACTTATAATTGTTTATAAAGTAATGTTTTTTTTAATTGTGCAGTTTAGATATCACTTGCAAAATCATAGATACTGATGGAATGATTATAACTTTTATTTGATTTACATAATAATTCTGGAATGATCAAAATCTAAAATGTGTAATTTAAACTTGTAACTTATTCTAGAGGTTTCCATCCTCCAGTTTTCTAGGAATTTCGCTTCTATAGAGTTCTTGAGATTTCCGAGACAACTATATATATACAGACACTAAAGTCAGACTTTCAGATTAGACATTAATATTCTCAGAAAGTTCTCTGGAGTTGTTACATTGACACTTTTATTTACGTTAACTACATCATACTAGATTGTGACAGTGAAGAGACGAATTCCCGATAAGGAAAAGACAAAAGGATCGGACATATATTTTAACAGTTAAGTTGATATTTCAATTTGTATAATATTCTTGTCAACTTGTGTATAATAAATCTTGTTAAATTTTATTATTGATTTGTGTCTTTTGTTGGCTACAACTTAAAGGTGATTTCTGGTCGTAACAATATCGAAGTCAACTTGAGAACCATCATGTCCAAAATACATGAAGGAAAAGTATAATCAGACCACTATTTGAATGGTTGTGTCAGCCATTGAACGAATTAATAATATGATTTAACCTGATTTACGAAGGGATTGCTGAAGTATTTGTAACAAATGTGAGACCTACAGACCACCTAGAACCCATCATTGTAGAATTTGTAGACGATGTATCAGGAAAATGGACCATCATTGTCCTTGGTAAGATTTTTGTTATGTGCAAACAGCTTGATAGAAAAAGATCATATCTTGAAAAGAGTAGCAGGGTTTATTTGTAATAGAATTAGGTGTGTTCCTTTATAGTACAAATACAAAGGGATAATGTGAATCGCATAAAGAACGACAGACCACATTAACCACCCCTAATCCTCCATTAAACCAGACATGCAAACAAAAACAAACAACAAATGAACAACAATGTTTTTTTTATTAGATATTTCATGAGTAGATGCCTTATTTTATTCAAACTTTAGATAAGAATTATTAATCAAATGTCAAAAAGCTTATTTTTCCTGATGAAACAGCTACTGAGTGTCAGCAAAATTTCTAAAAGATCTTGCTCTAAATAGTTGTATTTAATTTCATTGAATATGTATGAAAGGACAATATTATGTGATGAAACACTTGTAGAAGAAGTTAAAAAAAGAAGGAATAAGAAGAAAGGAAAAAACAATGTATAGTTTGATACAAGAGGTCTTTGGTAGAGGTAAATTATCACATAGGGGACTTCTTTATAAGCACAAATGTTCCTTGCGGAAGGCACTTGAAAATTAACAACCAATGGAAGCTTTTAAAGTTAACTCTCATTGTCTTGAAATTTTGAGAAGTTAGCATCATTCTGAAACTAAATATTTTTGTATGTTTTTTATGTGCAGATTTCTCGTTGAGTGTAAAATCGACATAAAGAAGTATTTAATTCTTTGTTCCTATCTCAAATAACAGCATTCAATATGTAATGCATAACAAAGGATAAGAGGAATTACCAAAACGTAGCCATCCTAGCTAAATTGTTTATTTGTCTCAAATCAGTGAAAAAATGTCATTGCCAAACTTAAGAAATTAAGACTTATATTGATCACTTTATAGCAGAAACATGATATAGCATTTTTATTCCTTTGTTATGTCCCTTTGATCATTGAGGTTTCAAATGCTACCATTGTTATCTGAAATATTACTTTGGGCATTGATGAATATTAGTATAAAATGGATGAAGTGAAATCAAGGTAATTGTGCGAGTATAAAATCTTGATTGAGTTGACTTTACCTCAAATTTACCTATATTTTGCCTGATAAATTTTTATTACAGCGGCTGAAGTTTTTGAAAAGCTGGCAGTCATATTATATCTTAATAGAATAATTGATCACTTCCAAGGAAAAATGGTGAACTAAATAGGTTGTTGTGTACTACTGAAGATTTCTTTAGTGCTGAGAATTATGTAAAAAAATTAAATTTTCTGGAAGTTTTTTTTTAATCAGCTTTTCAGAATGTTAAAAAATTCGAAACTTGACATAAATTTCAAACTACGTGTAGCTGTTTTCAAAGTAAACAGTCACTTCAGTGCTATTCTTGTACTTAGATTTGCCAGGTATTTTTTTGTAGCTAAAACAACCAATACCAGTCTTCACCGGGACAACAATAATGACAATGACTGATAAAAGGATGAACCCAATGCATGAAAAACATAGACCTCTTTGCACATAGTTTTAATCATCTTATGACTAATGGTTGATAGTACACATATTTTGTTCTTGGTCTTTATTCTCTATTTTATTGGTTAAAAGACATCTATAACATCAAATCTATTATTTTTCTTCAGAATTCTTCACAACAAAATGTATATATTATGTAGAATTAAAAATTTATATCTTGAGTTGAGAAATATTCCTACAAAAGGTTTAAACACAAGTAGTAGAATCTGTATTTTCTCCTTCTAATATTGATTTGAACAGTCATTACAAACAAGTTTGCAAAATATCTAAAAATATTGCATTAAATGCATTTATAATGATGCTGCTTTGAGCTGATGGTTTTGATGAATATCATTTACAAATTAACTTTTTTAAAGTTGAATTCCATTGTGATTTCAATCATGAATACAAGGTTTTGTATGTTGTTTTACTTTGTAGGGTGTTTTACCTGCCTCACAGAAGACAGAAGCAGGTCTAAAAACCACTCAACTCCTTCTGTCTGAAAGAAAACTTTATGAAAGTAATCTTGGCTTCTATGAAAGGGAATGGTTTAATATTTAGTTTGCAGCTTGATAATGTTGAGTTGTAGCGAGTAAGCAATGTTTATTTACATCTGCCGTGTCGTTGTTTCCTCTTAAGTAGATAGTTTGAAATTTTACAACACTTAATTTTCTTTGTCCCTATATTTACGTGATTGATTTTAATACCTGGTCTGGGAACGATCAGCTATACATGTTACCTCAATCAATTGTATCCAATGCAGACCTGGTATTGCTTTTGTTCATGAATACTGAGAGCATGCAGAGGATGGATTATTCTGCTAATATATGTTTATACCCCAACTCTAGTAGCAGAGACTATATTGCATTCAACTTGTACTTCCATCTGTTTGTCCAACAAATATTTTCGTTACATTTGTCTCAAACATTTCCTAAAATAATGACTTTATATTTGGTCAGAGGCTAGACAGTGATGAGTTATAACATGTGGTAACTTTACCGATATGTCAGACACCTACTTCATGTTTGCCTATACTTTATAATTTTTTAAATACTTTTAATAAACTTAATATTAACTTCACATATTTCCCCATTGCGATAGTTCAACTTAAAATTAAAACAATTGTTAGTTGTTATGTTTGTGTGCTTTTCAGATCTGTCATACACCTACTTCCTGTTTTCTGATACTTTTAATTACGAGTGGAGGTATGTTTAGTAGACATTTTCGAAAAGTCATCTACACGGACACTCATACCGACACCAATACCTACACTGACTAAAAAAATAGAGGGACCGTATCAAAATGTCAAATTATACTAAATGCATTTAATTTAACATTTAACTATATTAACGAGGTAAATTATTTATAAAATTAAACGCATATATTTTTAATGTGGTGATCCTGCAAACAGGGTGGATATACCATAGAAGAAGAAGAATAATCTTGTAAAACTTGGTTTGATGCAGCAGAAGTAGAAAAAAAATACAAATTCATTTATATTCGTTAGTTGGTTTTCTATAATTTTTAATTCGGAATCTGAGCTAGAAACAACAAGTGTTCTCATTAGTTTTGCAATTCTTTTAGTATGATTTGTGATATTCCAACTGATTTCTTCTAATTGTCGAACTATACTGATTGATCTTTTTTAATCAGTAAATTACATTTCATGTAGTTTTTGGGGTTGAATAAACAAAATGAGTATTCATCTTATCAAAACAGAAAATCGGGTACACCTTGTTACGTTCAAGCATGTTTGATATGATTGGTTTGTCCTGAAAACGTATAATGCAAAAATATTTGATACATCAGTCTCGCTTCAGATCTATTATTTTTATATATTTAGGCTACATTTTGATATTATAAGATTACACATTTACAGTACCAAAACAGGAAATATATCATGGTCAAGTGAAAAACCTTTCTTATATGTCAAAACAACAGAGTAGGTGTGTGTGAATAACATAGGAAAAGCTTTGTACTTTTTCAAATGTTAAAACTGGAAGTGTATTTCTTACGTGTATTTTGTTTTACATTCGTTCACTCATTAATTAGTAAACCAATTAGGTATATTAATTATTTTATTCATGAAATGTATAAAAACAAAGTGGGACACATGTTGTTCACCAACTTTTCCTTGGATTTTTACAAAAGGTCCAAGACTTTATAAGTGGATCTTAAAAAAGCATAACTTAAAAAAAAAAAAAAACATTTTAGTGTGTGTAATCCAGGGTAATTATTCTTCAACCTCTGCAAATTTTAGTCTGCCATTCAACATAATACTTAAATAGAATTCTTTTAATGTTTGTTTAACTTTCAGAAATTCCCTCTGAAAACCAATCAGACAATAGTTTTTAGTTGAAAAAAGGCCTAAAAGTAAATGAGATGCTTTATAGAGAAATACAAGATGACGGAATGGACATGGCATCCTTACTGCAGGCATCATAGCTACAGGAATCGGACGAAGTATCATCAATGTTGCTGAAATATTTCGATCTATATCATAAAAGGCTTATTGCTGTTATATTTTGAAAGGTTGTCCCTTGCAGTATATCACTCGTGCAATTTAATATAAAACTCTGGACAATATCAATTGCTTATTGTAGTATAGCAACACGGAACGTTAAAAAGAGGTAGTATAAAAATCAAAATTATCGACGTCATCAGTTTCAAAACATTATCTGAACAGTTTTCTAGGTTTAACTAAATAATAAAAGTGTTATTCCAATATTCATCAACATGCATGCAGCAATCATATATAATATGAGCGAAGATATTCTATAGTATAGAGAAATAAAATATTTGACATGATTTACTGCAGTCAGTCAGTAAAGATATTATTAGCTGTATCTCATCCAATTGAAGCTTCATTTTAAAATGATTAAAGTATTTTTAATGTGATGACATGTTTTCCTGTCAAAAAGCATATTGACAACTTTCAGTACTGTAGATATACATTGATATAATGCTAGCGCTTAGTTTTAAATATACTGGTCAAGTTTCAAAAATAATAAAAACAAAAATAATCGGCTGATCGATTTCAGAGTTTAAATATGATTGCCTTTTAACATGATTAATCCAAAAAGGCTATATCTCAATTCGCAATGTTTTCACACCTCAATTCAAAGATTCAAAGTTTTATTATCACCAGACACTACAGTGCACAAGAGGTACATACATACATAAATAAAAGAAGTATCTATACAGTAATTCTGATACAATTAATAAAAACATTACATGTACGCCAACAGGATCTAACACACATTTATCAATCCCTAGCAATGCTTAGCGTACAAATATGTTAAATAAAATTTCATACATTGTTTTTCTTGAGCACATAACAACCATCAAATAGTTTTTAAAATCTGATATAAACAAAAAGTCATAAAACTTTACTGAACCATGTATAAGTCATTCGTCACTGAAGAAAAATAAATTAGAAAAACAGCAACTACAAGTCATACATTGTTAAACTTACCTAAGGATTTAGCTAAAAACATAATAAAACACAACTGGAATTACAATTATAACAAACATCATCGCCCATGTTGGCTTGATTCCGCTTTGTAAAGTCATACCCATCAACAGGACCTGAATTTTGATCAGAAGAAATAATCTAGGAACATTTAAACCTGAATACGATTTTGGTAGATTATTTCGTCGTGGAACTTGATTTGCAGCATCCCGTGATCCGTCAACAAACCTTTCCGTTTGTACTGAGTAATCTAGACGACCTTCAGGATTGGAAACTCTTAAAGAATTGCTAAAAACCTTCAAAAATAAAAGAGAAAGTTAATCCTACATACATCTTCAATCGAAGAGAGTGAATGTCTAAAAACTGAGACAAATTTCTAAGGAGAATTCATAAGTTAACAATTTGCATATGGTAAATGTAACTGTTTTCTAAAAATATCCATGGATTAAAAACAATATGTAAATTGGTGACGACCAAAAAATGAATTATGAATCATCAGATATTTTTACACTTTGAAATTTGCATTAATGTTGGAAGCATAACTATTCAAAATTATATAAATTATAATATGGAGTAAGACGAAATTCTGCACTAACTGACTGAGCTGAATTATTGAAATCTTAATCTACAATCAAACTGGTAGTAACTTGTTCCAGTTTGGTTTTATGTGAATGTATTAAATCTGCTCTACAAGTGGTACTAGTACTACCGATTGTTTTGCTCATCGAAATTAAAATGTTGGTGATGTCAAAGTTTGGAAAAAGAGGAACAGATTATGTCTTCGATGAATTGAATATATCCCTGGTCATATGTGACAACGATAATTGATAACGGTTAACCAAATAATGATGGTGTCTGTATTGTTTGTGAAAGAGATTATTTCAAATTTAACGTTACTAAGTAATGATTAAATTTTCATCCGACCATCATTGTCATTTGCTGGATAAGTCAAGATATGACGCAGACATATCTGGGATATCCCTTGTTTAAAGTTCAATGGGATATATAAAATAAACAATAAGACCAAACAAAATTGTTCAGTAATACTGCCATTCAAAATGAAAATAATGATGCCAGTTTCAGAGATTTTTTGTTTGAATAAGAGTGATATCCTATTCCTTTTTTTCCTATTTAAAACTACGGTTGACATTCTTTTAACGAATCAAAGTTTGACTTGTTCATTCAACCTGTCTTTAAGTTTTAAATAAGGAACACCGGTGTAGGTAGAACATTCAAATGTTTGTATACTATTACAAGAGGAGAGGCACTACATTTATAAAAGCAGTTTATAGAATGACATTAAAAACTAGAAGTTACCATGCCGCAATGAGATAGGCAAGTGTGCTGAAATTGCCGTTTAAAACCAAGAATCTATCAAATGCTTAATCCGGTGTAATCATGACACCATAAATAACATACTTTGCAAGCTAAACACATATGAGATATTGCTAACATGGATAAAGTCGTATATTGTCATACCATTTTTAGGGTAACCTATAATTTACCAAAGCCATTTCACCTTCATCTTTTAAATAGTATTATGCTGTTGAACTAGATTTGGGTCATTTGAGCTTTTATGCTGGTTCAATACATTATTAATGACTGATAAAATGAAATTTTGTTTTCTGAATAACATATAGTATTGCTGAAAAGTATACGTGAAAAGCTGTTAGATCATTTTCAAATACACACAATTATGTTTAATATACAACAATGATGGTGTACTTTATACCTGATGCATCAGTTGTAGAACATCAATATCTATCTCCGGTGTGAGTGAAAACCGATAGGTTGTATCTTTATCTATATCTGCACAGTAATTCTTGATTCGTTTAAACCGTTCTGCTTCAATGCCAAGGTGTTCCATAAATAATCTTTCTCTTTCATCTATTATCGCATTTTGGCTACCATCAAATTTATCAGCCTTTGTCATAACACCAAATACTGGAATGCCTAAATATGCACATAAGTCGTCATATATGTGTAAAATAATTCATCAGAACATAATGCTTTTAATAATTATTATTTGTTGCTAGAATTTCATAGGCTTTTCTATGGATCCCAATTAAACAAGAAGAGATTTCACCGCGAAATCAGTAAACTAGAGACCCAATGGAGTCTGAATGCCATCAATCAGTGCATTCATTTTATGATTGGAATAACTTCGATTATTTATTTCACATATGGCCTTTGAAATTCACATAATAATAATCTTGAAATATTGCTGAGAAACAAATAAAAAATTAAAAACAAATATGTAATTTCAAACTGTTACTTATAAGCATTCATGATACTGCATTAACACCCCTTATCAAACCCCATTAAACATAAGATACATTCTCTATATACCCAAAGAATATTGAAAAGTTCCTTTTACCTTTATGGTCATGGAAAAAGAAATTATCCAAACAATACCCAGAAATAAGAACGTGGACAAATTTTCTTCTTATTTTTTTTTTGTTGGTTATCTGGATCGTCTTTTGATTTTTTGCTTTTTTTGTTTGTTTTTTTTTTGTGTTTTTGTATTTCAGAATGTTTACTTATTTTCAATTAATACATATGAGTTTGAACTTATTTTTCATGATGTTGTGATATGTCATTACTCTTGTCAGTGCTATATTTCTATATGTGCTGTCCCTCTACAATTAAAAAATAACATGTGAATATCGCAACTGAAAATCAAAATTTTCTATTGAATACATAGCATTTATGTATACTAAAACATCAATATATATCAGGTGGAATACTAATAGGATCAGAAAATCTCATTGCAATGAAACATGGGAATCAAATGATAAAGTTACTTTTAAAATATCTAATTATGTCATTATCATGATTATGTCAAAAAGAACATGATTCGTAGCTTTTTATACTTTTATATTTCAAATTTAACTACAATTCCTGCAAGAAAGTAAACGACAGACGAGAAAAGAACCAAGCCTTTATGAAAAATTCACATGAATATTAATCTATAACCATAAATATTCACCATTTTGTCTATTGTACACCTATATTAATCAATAGAATAAGCAGTCATGCTATTTTTGTGTGGTAAAATGCATTTTCAATTTTGAGATAGTTATCATACAAATCAAATCAAATTAAATTAGTCATGTATTATCTAGAAGAAAAGATATTTGTTATAAAATTTATCAGACACGAAAGTATAAGCTCTTGCATCTTGTCCTTTTTTTTAATCTGGGCATGTCAGTTAAGTACAAAAACGGAACAGTGTTTTAGAAAATTCATCCTTTTATGGTCATTGTCAGAGGAGGGACGACACTCTGCACACGGCACGCATATTGGACTTGTATTTTAGATCGGTCGCGGTAATAATGTGTCGTTTATTCGTTTATTACAAGCAGTTAGGGCTGTGAACATCACCTATAGAAATTTGTCGAATAAGATTATAAACATAAGCAGTAATACACAATTTATACAGTTATAATGATTATACAATTTACATACATGTATTCATGTATACATGTATAATAACCGAAATTGGTATTTGTCATTATTTTCGGGGAACATGCAAATGTCACGGTGGATAAGATTGTCCTGCGAGAGAACGTTCTGTGCTGGTGATTCGGTCCTGACTGGTGCTGGTGATTAAAAATATGTAAAAAAAGACGAAAATGACAAATTTTGACGTTTTCTCCCATAAAACATGGAAGGAAACAGTTGAGATGTTTTAATTTTGTTTCTTATGGGTTCATAGGCAAACAATTACAAATGTGACCCTCTAAACTGTTTCAGTAAGCGTAACACAAAAGTGCTCATTTTTCAGAAAATTTAGAACTGAAAAAATAAAACAATATGCTCCTGGGGTCCGCTTTCTATACCCTAATCCACACGACAAAATTATTTTGTGAAAAACCTGTGCAATTTATTAAAATTGTTCATTTTCTCAGTTTACACATGTCCTGATTCTGTGCTGGTGGGTCCTGTCATTGTGCTGTTGGGTCCTGTCATTGTGCTGTTGGGTCCTGTCATTGTGCTGTTGGGTCCTGATACGGTGCTGATGATTTTGGGTAAACAGTTGGTAATATTTGAAACAAATGTTACAGAATCAATAAAATTGGGCAGATAATTGTATTCAATCTGATTTGTGACTCCTATTTTTACTTTTGTGCATCTATTTGGCTGTTAAACAAGCGTTTTCAAGCAATCGTAACTTATATTACATAAAAGGGCAACATCTTCCGTCCAATATCAGATGAAAATATATCTAATTAGAATAGTTTTATTCAAGATATTAAATGCCCTTAAATTAATTATTCTCTACATAATATGCTAACTAAAACAGTTTTAAAAGGTGCTTAAGGTTAATCGAAATGTATATTATAACGACAATGAACGTTTGACTGGTTTATTTCAGTTAAATATACGAGGTTAGGTGATATTACTACTGGTGCCTCTAATTTCTTTCTTAATATATACACTGTCTCCAATACATTTCGACTGGATGAAACAAACGACCTAGACTTGCTTTTCATACATGACTGATAAAAACTTACTAGAATGGAACAAGATGTGAACAATTGCAAGTCAAACTATGACCTTCAACAACGAGCAAAAACCATAACGAATACTAGCTATAAAAATCACGGTAAACGATTAAAAAATGAAGACCTTCGGCCTGATTTAAAATACAACTTTGAACAAAAAACAAACATGACAGATAGCAAGCATTGACAACCACTGTTTTGGGGCACTAGTGACAGGGCTTAACATGTTTGTTTGCGCACCACACCCACCCAACCCCTCCTTCTTTCCTCCTTCATTGGTACAGTTGTGTAACAACACAACACTTAGCACACAAAATAATAACATAAAGACACAAATTGTTGAACCACGAGTACTCACAGCTACTGAAAGCTAGTTCAACTAATAGATAAACCATGTTCTCTTAGATTAAAATCTCAATCGCTATACAAAACTTTAAAACTGTGCACTGAATCTTGTGCTCACAACAGTTATTGCCATAAATATGTATACATCAGACATTATAAAGGCATGTGGAAGATACTAAGTAGTATTTTACAGTTCAATTTATTGATTCTAAAGGGATGGAGATTGCATGGAGGTTAACATAGGATAAGAAATTGATAGTATTTCTGGAAGACTTTAAACCTTCTTTCCATTAAATTCTGAAAGTTTTTTTGTTGCCGTAAATGGTAAAATCCTCAACAAAATCTCAATAATTTGTTGGAATGAATAAAGGTTTTAAAACAAATTTTCATGGACTTTGATCCACTTTTTAGCTCTCACCCTGATGAGCCATGTGAGCTGTCGGTATCCTGTTGCACCTACCGCCCGTAAACTTTCACATTTCCATCTTTTTACCCAATTCATACGTGGCAGGAGTAGTATCATAGTAACCGGTGTAACCAATGTATCGAACATTTTAAGTTAAAAAATTCCACAATACTATATTCATTTTGTGTGTCAATTTGTTTAGACAAAACAAAACTGCAAATACGTCAAATACAAGAGAGTATTTTAAATGTCATTATTATCTGTCGATTTCTAGATCTATGCATAGTATTTATTTCAGATGACGTGGATTTCACACACCTGGTGACCCTGCTTCCCTTCATATATTCATATTTATTGTCCTTCCCTACGCCTATATCACCCTGCTCAGTCGCTCCGTAATTCTCGTATCACGGCTTTGAGACGAGAGCAGGCATTATCAGCGACGTCACAATGTCTGAGGAGAAGTTATCAGCGTCGTCACAATGTGAGAGGAGACGTTATCAAGCTCGACACAAAATGAAGCTTTTTCTCTCGTTCGCTGCGCTCACTCGCCCAAAAGTTTCACATTGTGGATCGCGGTTGATATTTTACGATATCAATGTGTAGAAAACCCGATAATCTATACACATATATAAATAAACAAACTAAAGGCTGCAACTGGTAATTTTTTGCATTTAAAATGATTCATTGCAACAAGAATATTTGTATTGAATGGAAACTGTGTGGGTAAAAATCTTGTATTGCTAATAAATGTTGCTGGACCAAGTTTTTGCATCTGATCTGAATTTTCTGAAAAGTGCAAGGTAGAAAGACATTTGCCTGTTGAATATATTTACTCGGTAAGTTTTGCTCTAACCATGCTAACTGCTTGAACTTTTGCGATATAAACTAAAAACTCGAATATATTTTAACAAACAATGGTCATGTTTGTTGATGAATATTGTTTTTCCTAGATTCACTCAGGAAAATTCATTTGGTAACATTTGGTCAATCAATTTCAGAGAAGATTTTTTTTTAATTACGGACGCCAAGTCAATAGCTCGCACGGCCCCTTGATACAGGTGAGTTAAGAGCGAAACGGGTTGATAACCAGTTGAAATTAAAGTTTTGTAAAGTTTGTCTATTTGGATTGTTTAAAACTGTTTTTATAGCTTTTAAAAGTTAACTGTAGGTGTATAATTTAAGATTTTTTTGCATCTTATATACTTTCTTATACTCTATTGGTAGTATAAAGCTACGAGATATTGTAATTTTTGCACATTTAACAAAACAGCCGATTTCGGTAGGTGCAAATACTTCTGAGTTTTTAAGATGCATAAGCATAAATTCAACTGAAAAAAAAACATGTACGAAAAGATAAAATATTGATCTTAAAAAGCATTAATTTGCATCTCGGCAACAATATTTTTTTTTGGGGGAGAGGGGGTCTAAAATTGGGCAATTGTCTTATCGTAAAGAGACAGTCGGGTACACATTTTACGTTCAAGGCGTGTGTGTGTTATCTAGGTTATCTAGTCTTCATTTTCTAACAATTTCTTGTCTGCCCTTCCATGAAAAATTTAATATATTTTTTTAATGTTTTATTGAACCTTCAAAAATACCCCCTGACAACCGATCAGACAATAATTTTATGTTGACCAGATGCTTAAAGGTACAGCAAATGGTGCTTAATAGCTAATATATACATTTTTCTT